CAAGAAAAAAAAAAAAAAAAGGCTGGGCACGGTGGCTCACTCCTGTAATCCCAGCAGTTTGGGAGGCCAAGGCAGGCAGATCATGAGGTCAGGCGTTTTCAGACCAGCCTGGCCAATATGGTGAAACCCCATCTCTACTAAAAAATACAAAAATTAGTCAGGCATGGTGGCATGCCTATAGTCCCAGCTACTCGGGAGGCTGAGGCAAGAGAATCACTGGAACCCGGGAGGTGGAGGGTGTAGTCAGCCGAGATCACCGCACTCCAGCCTGGGTGACAGAGCAAGACTCTAAAAGAATGAATATCCAGTGTCAGAAGTGCATGAGTTCTGTTCTCTTTCAAAATATGTGCCTTCCTGCTCATTACTGCATTCCTCCTGTCTTGTCATCACCAGCTCCAATTTAGGTATGGCTAGTGGAAGGATGACTTGTATGCTTTTAAGGTTAAAACTGTCTGAAGGGAACTCAGGAAGGACCTGTTCTATCCTGAAGCTTTCTTGTTGTTGTTGTTCTTATTGTTTTGAGACGGAGTCTTGCTCTATTGCCCAGGCTGTAGTACAGTGGCGCAATCTCGGCCCACTGCAACATCTGCCTCCTGGTTCAGTGATTCTCCTGCCTCAGCCTCCTGAATAGCTGGGACTACATGGGCACGTGCCACCACGCCCAGCTAATTTTTGTATTTCCAGTAGAGACGTTTCATCATTTTGGCCAGGCTGGTCTAAAACTCCTGATCTCAAGTGATCTGCCTACCTCCGCTTCCCAAAGTGCTGGGATTACAGGTGTGAGCCACTGCGCCCGACCTGTCCTGAAGCTTTATACACTTGAACAACCTCCCCTTCCCCTCTAGATGTGTGACAGATTATTGGAAGAAAACCTTGTCATTGTTGAAGACATCTTGCCTTCACACATTATCATTGTTGAAGACATCTTGCCTGCCTTGGATATGGAAGGGTGGGTGAGGCAGGGCTAGTTACACCTGCCACTCAGTCACCCCCCGAATTATTCTCACCTTTTTTTTTTTTTGAGACGGAGTCTCGCTTTGTCACCCAGGCTGGAGTGCAGTGGCGCGATCTCGGCTCACTGCAAGCTCTGCCTCCCGGGTTCACGCCATTCTCCTGCCTCAGCCTCCCGAGTAGCTGGGACTATAGGCACCCGCCACCACGGCCGGCTAATTTTTTTTATTTTTTAAATTTTTTTTATTTTTATTTTTATTTTTTGAGACGGAGTCTCGCTCTGTCGCCCAGGCTGGAGTGCAGTGGCCGGATCTCTGCTCACTGCAAGCTCCGCCTCCCGGGTTTATGCCATTCTCCTGCCTCAGCCTCCCGAGTAGCTGGGACTACAGGCGCTTGCCACCTCGCCCGGCTAGTTTTTTTTTGTATTTTTTAGTAGAGACGAGGTTTCACCTTGTTAGCCAGGATGGTCTCGATCTCCTGACCTCGTGATCCGCCCACCTCAGCCTCCCAAAGTGCTGGGATTACAGGCTTGAGCCACTGCGCCCGGCCTGTATTTTTTTTTAGTAGAGACGGGGTTTCACCATGTTAGCCAGGATGGTCTCGATCTCCTGACCTCGTGATCCGCCCGTCTTGGCCTCCCAAAGTGCTGGGATTACAGGCTTGAGCCACTGCGCCCCGCCTCTCACCTTCTTTTTATTTATCACAGAATTTGAAGAAGAGCTGGCACCCGCAGACCCTCCGGAATGTGGAGAAGGTGTGGAAGGCCGAGCAGAAGCATGAGGCTGAGCGGAAGAAGATTGAGGAGCTTCAGCGGGAGCTGCGAGAAGAGAGGGCCCGGGAAGAGATGCAGCGTTATGCTGAGGATGTTGGGGCCGTCAAGTAAGTGAGGAACTGGGGGTGTCCTGGTGTATAGGGAATTGCAGAGCTGTCCTGAGATGCATCATCCAGTTGTTGTATAATAGCTGAGTGCTTAAGGGCATGGGTTTTAAAGCCAGACTAACCTGGATTCTAAGGTTGGCTTTGCATGTACTAGCCGTGGAACTGTGATCAAATTTGAGAGACTTGGTTACTTCAGTAGGACCAGGGAGCGATAATACCCAACACCTTCTTAAGGTTTGTTGGGAGTCAAATGAGGTAACACGTAAGGACTTGCTGTAAGCTGAGCTCATGGTAGATGGCTGATAACAGTGATGAGGGATGGTTGCTCTACCCTGCTGCTCAGTATGTGTTGAGGCCGCAGTCCTGCCTTTGTTAATGTAGCTCAGGCTTGCTTGGGGGTGGCGGGACAGGGGGCAGGGAGTGAGGTCCCATGAGAGAAGGTGGATGGTATGCTTGTCAGTGAAAGCCGAGTGATTATGGCCAATCCCACTAGATTTTACCCTGCTTCAATTTCCTGTTGTATAATATAGGGTAGGAGTAGCAGATAATAACTACCCCATCCATCTCATAAAAGGAGATGGGAGTAAATATGTTTGAGAAAATAAAAAGCATACATTATGCAGTGTATTAAATCAGAATAAAATAAAATAACAGATAGACTAAAATTGAAGACCAGATGTGGTGGTTCATGCCCATGATCACTGCATTTTGGGAGGCTGAGACATCACTTGAGCCCAGGAGTTTGAGACCAGTCTGGGTAATGTAGTGAGACTCCATCTCTGTTTAAAAATATATAGGCTGGGTGTGGCAGCTTATGCCTATAATCCCAGCACTTTGGGAGACTGAGGCATGCTGATCACTGGAGGCCAGGAGTTCCAGACCAGTCTGTAGTAGGAACCCATCTCTACAAAAAAGTAGAAAAAAAATTAGCCAGGTGCGGTGGCTCACACCTGTAATCCCAGCACTTTGGGAGGCCGAAGCGGGCAGATCACTTGAGGTCAGGAGTTTGAGACCAGCCTGACCACCAACATGGTGAAACCCTGTCTCTATTAAAATACAAAAATTAGCTGGGTGTGGTAGTGCACACCTGTAATCCCAGCTACTCAGGAGGCTGAGGCAGGAGAATTGCTTGAACCCAGGAGGCAAAAGTTTCAGTGAGCCGAGATCATGCTGCTGCACTCCAGCCTAGGCGATAGAGTGAGAGTGCATCTCAAAAAAATGAACAAACAAAAAAAATACAGGCTGGGTGCAGTGGCTCACGCCTGTAATCCTAGCACTTTGGGAGGCCGAGGTGGGCGGATCACCTGAGGTCAGGAGTTGGAGACTAGCCTGGCCAACACGGTGAAACCCCATCTCTACTAAAAAAAAAAAATTACCTGAGTGTGGTAGCATGCATCTGTAGTCCTAGCTACTCGGGAAGCTAAGGCAAGAGAATCGCTGGAACCTGGAAGGTATAGGTTGCAGGTTGCAGAGAGCTGAGATTGCGCCAGTGCACTCCAGCCTGATGACACAGCGAGACTCTGTCTCAAAAAAAAAAAAACAAACCAAGAACAAACAAACAAAAAAACCCCCCAAAATTAGCCAGGCATGGTGGCACATGCCTGTAATCCCAGCTACTCGGGAGGCTGAGGCAGGAGAATCACTTGAACTCGGGAGTTGGAAGTTGCAGTGAGCTGAGATCATGCCACTGCATTCCAGCCTGGGTGACAGAGTAAGACTTCGTCTCAATAAAAAAATAAAAAATAAAAAATAGAAAATAAAAGAGAGAGAGAGAGAGGAGGGAGGGAGGAAGGAAGGAAGGAAGGAAGGAAGGAAGGAAGGAAGGAAAAGTTAGCTGGGCATGGTGGCATGTGCCTGTAGTCCCAGCTACTTGGGAGGCTGAAGAAGGAGGATTGCTTGAGCCCAGGAGTTCGAAGCTACAGTGAGCTATGATTTTGCCACTGACTTTGGCCTGGGTAACAGAGTGAGACTCTGCCTCTAAGTAAATAAATAAATAAATAAGTAAAAATTGATCTTAGACTGAATACCCATTAGTCATATGCCGAGGTACTATCCAAAGGTAAAAATTGTTTTGAAATTTTTATTCACCAAAGCATTACACATCATGTGCTCAGTTTATCAGAAATTCGGGCTTTTGTGGAGTCTGATTAATGAGGTCAGAGTATAGATGCACAAGTGTAGAGAAAGGAGTCAGCATTGTTGCAGACTCATGCCTGCTTGTCTGTTGTGAATGGGGGAATGATTTTGTATGCTTTGTTTTGTTTTGTTTTGTTTTGCCCTACCACACGTCCTACAATATTGTAAAACACTAAGATCAGCATTTGGTTCCCTCCGCCCCACCTCTTTTTGGTCTTTACTGCTGATGTATTTAGATGACTTGAGTATTCATCTGTTTGTTTGTATAGTTCTTTACATGGTGTCATGCTTTTAATTTATCCTATAAAATGCCACTAAAAAACTCTTTACTATTTAACAGTTCATTTCTGTGGTTCAGATCATGTTTTCTGTTTGTAATGAATCTCTCTTAGAACAAAGAAGACCTTTAATAGACATATTATTAGGGCTCACCAAGTCACGCTTTGCAACAGTGTTTCTTTAGTATTTACTGATAATATTGGAAAATTGCATTTCCCAGACACCAGTCTATGCTGGTGTTTTCAACCCTTGCACTTTAGAAGGAGCTTGGAAGGGCCGGGAACGGTGTCTCACACCTGTAATCCCAGCACTTTGGGAGGCCGAGGTGGGCGGATCACCCGAAGTCGGGAGTTTGAGACCAGCCTTACCAACATGGTGAAACCCCGTCTCTACTAAAAAAAATACAGAATTAGCCCGGAGTGGTGGTGCAAACCTGTAGTCCCAGCTACTCAGGAGGCTAAGGCAGGAGAATCGCTTGAACCCGGAAAGCAGAGTTTGCGGTGAGCTGAGATTGCACCACTGCACTCCAGTCTGGGCAATAAGAGCAAAACTCCATCACACACACACACCAAAAAAAAAGAGAAAAAAAAGAAAGTTAGATGGGAGCAAGTCCCACCCGAGCAAATTTCCTCTGAAGAGAAGGGAGTGTGGGAGGCAAAGGCATATATGTGTTTTATTTATTTATTATTTATTATTGTTATTATTTTATTTTATTTATTTTGAGATGACGTCTTGCTTTGTCTCCTAAGCTAAAGTGCAGTGGTGCGCGATCTCGGCTCACTGCAGCCTCTGCCTCTTGAGTTCAAGCGATTCTCCTGCCTCAGCCTCCCGAGTAGCTGGGATTACAGGCATGCACCACTATGCCTGGCTAATTTTTGTATTTTTAGTAGAGACAGGGTTTCACCATGTTGGCCAGGCTGGTCTCGAACTCCTGACCTCGTGATCCTCCTGCCTCGGCCTCCCAAAGTGCTGGGATTATAGGCGTGAGCTACCGCGCCTGGCCTTATTATTAATTAATTAATTTATTGAGACAGGGTCTTGGTCTGTCACCCTGGCTGGAGTGCAGTGGCACTATCACAGCTCACTACAGCCTTGACCTCCTGGGCTCAAGCCATCCTCCCACCTCAGCCTCACCTGGCCTTTTTTAGTTTTTTAAGACAGCGTGCAGCTGGGCATGGTGACTTATGCCTGTAATCCCAGCACTTGGGAGGCAAGGCCGGTGGATTGCTTGAGGTCAGGAGTTCAAGACGAGCTTGGCCAACATGGTGAAACCCTGTCTCTACTGAAAATACAAAAACTTAGCCAAGTGTGGTGGTGTGTGTCTGTAGTCCCAGCTACTTGGGAGGCTGAGGTGGGAGAATCTCTTGAACCCGGGACGTGGAGGTTGCAGTGAGCCAAGATTGTGCCACTGCACTCCAGCCTGGGTGACGGAGCAAGACTCCGTCTCAAAAAAAAAAAAGAAAGAAAGGATCTGGCTCTGTCGCCCAGACTGGAGTACAGTTGTGTAATCTTGGCTCACTGCAACCTCCACCTCCTGGACTGAAGTCATCCTCCCACCTCAGCCTCCCAAGTACCTGGGACCACAGGCACGCACCACCATACCTGGCTAATTTTTGTATCTTTTGTAGAGACAGGGTTTTACCATGTTGTCGAGGCTAGTCTTGAACTCCTGAGCTCAAACCATGTCCCATCTTGGCTTCCCAAAGTGCTGGGATTATAGGCGTGAGCCACCATGTAGAGACAGGGTCTCACTATGTTGCCCAGACTGGTCTTGACCTCCTGAGCTCAAGTGATCCTCCTGCCTGGGCCTTCCAAAGTGCTGAGATTACAGACGTGAGCCACCACACCCAGCTAATATATGGGTGTTTTATTTGTTTGTTTGTTTTTTGAGATGGGGTCTCCCTCTGTCACCCAGGCTGGAGTCCAGTGGCACAATCTCGACTTACTGCAACCTCCGTCTCCCAGGTTCAAGCGATTCTTCTGCCTCAGGCTCTTGAGTAGCAGCTGGGATTATATCTGCGTGCCACCACGCCCGGCTAATTTTTTTTTCTTTTTCTTTTTTTTTTTTTTTTTTTTTTGAGACGGAGTCTCGCTCTGTCACCCAGGCTGGAGTGCAGGGGTGTGATCTCGGCTCACTGCAAGCTCCGCCTCCTGGGTTCATGCCATTCTCCCGCCTCAGCCTCCCGAGTAGCTGGGACTACAGGCGCCTGCCACCATGGCCGGCTAATTTTTTGTATTTTTAGTAGAGATGCGGTTTCACTGTGTTAGCCAGGATGATCTCGGTCTCCTGACCTCGTGATCCGCCCACCTCGGCCTCCCAAAGTGCTGGGATTACAGGCGTGAGCCACCGAGCCCAGCCATGCCCGGCTAATTTTTGTATTTTTAGTAGAGACAGGGTTTCACCATATTGGCCAAGCTGGTCTTGAACTCCTGACCTTGTGATCCGCCCGCCTTGGCCTCCCAAAGTGCTGGGATTACATACGTGAGCTGCCATGCCCAGCCAATATACACATGTTTTAAAAGCTCCCTGGGTGATTCTTATGTTCAGCTTCAATTGAGAACTTGTTCTATATCCTTAATGACAG